TAAAAAATGTTGAGAAGCCCAAATTGCCCAAACTAGTTTGGGCTTTGAGAAAACAGTTTGGACCAGAAACCTTAATCAGGGGCATCTTGGTCAGATTAGCCTTGTGTACATGAGGAAGATGTGTGAGAATGACTGTAAGTGTTCAAGTAGCATATGTGCTTCAACGCTTCTCAATTTCCGATAATCAAAAAGTTACATGATGAATTGTTTCTTTTTCAACAGTAATGTCACTTTGACGTCTTCTTGTAATTATAATAATATAATAATATTATTAATATTATTGATTACGCAAAGCAAAATGCCAATTGTTTGTTGTTGATAAGGATCTTATTATTGATTACGAAAAGTAAAATATTATCAATGAAAATCTTGTAATTACCCCTAGCAAGATCTGCTCCATGTTTTGATTTCCAATTAAAATATTTATATAAAATAAAAGACATCACATTATATCAATACAAATAAAAAATAGTACCTCTGGTTAGTTATTAACACATTTTCTTTAGGTGACCCAACCCAAACCAAACCAAACAACAACACTCATGTTTTGTCACCTTGGACTGTCAAAGAATAAATTGTTTTTTTGTTTTTCCAAAAAAAAAAAAAAAAAAAAAAATCAATTCGTGTCTGTCCTCCCAAAAAAAAAACCAATAGGATAAATAATTAATGTGTACATGTATATGTTGATCAAATAATCTTTTTTTCTTTATTTTTTAGAAATGCCACTTCCAAGAACGGCAAAAAATAAAAGAAGCCAAAAAGATAAAAAGGCTGAAATCGCTGGATAAGTGTTTTAAGGAAGTTGTGATGGTGTTATTGCCATACATCGTCACTCTAGTTCTAATTTAAAAAATTCACATAATTTCAATTTCACATACAACATATGCATGGACTTCACATTAGAGGAGGAATAGATCAATACGCAAAAGAAGTCATAAGAAGATATGGCAAGGATCATAATGTGCTGGAAAATTTGGTCAATGAAGTCATGGAAAAAGAAAAGGAAATGGTCGATTTAGTTAAAGTTGAGTTGGAAAATTTATCATTGGTTCTTAACAAATATCTTGAAGAGGAAAGAGAATACAATGATACAGAACTGTCTAATACTTCTAATGATAGAAATAGTATCGATGATCTAAATATAAATGAACAATCCGTTACTATTAATATTAATGATAGAAATAGTATTGTAATTGATAATCTAAATGAACAATCTGTTACATTAATGATAGAAATACACAGTGAGTCTTGGTATAGCGGATAATTTGGGCAATTAGAACAAAAATTTCAAAAATCCGTTATACCGAGATTGATTCAAGATTTAATTAGTAAATCCATTAAACCAAGAGAATTTACTTATAGAAGGTTCTGAGCTTTGATCCATTAAACTGAGAGTTTTATTAGACATCCGCTATACCAAGACTCACTGTGTAGTATTGATGATCTAAATATAAATGAACAATCCGTTACTATTAATATTAATGATAGAAATAGTATTGTAATTGATAATCTAAATGAACAATCCGTTACCATTAATGATAGAAATAGTATCGATGATCTAAATAGTAATGATGATAATCCAAATGAACAAACTATGGTAGAAACATCATCATTGTTAACGTCACAGAAAAGTTATAATCTTAGAAGAAAAAGGCCAGTAAACTACAATGTTGGTGGAACATTACCAAAAAAGCGATACCGAAAAAATAATGTAAGTATAAACTGAAACATTAATAGTAGACATATCATTTTATTTAATTTTTTTTTTACTTATATTTATAGGGATCACTACCATCACCACCCTCACCCTCACCCTCACCACCATCACCGCCATCTTCACCATCTGAGGTATATATGTTATAAAATATAATTGTATTTTAAGATAAAATATTAATTTTTTTTATTTTTTATATATAGATTGAATGCACGAATTTGTGCCCCTTACATTGTCAATACGCAATGTGATTATTATCATCAGACAGAAAAGATTTTGTGTGTAGAACTGATCTTGAATTATTTGATAACTCTATATCAATTGTAAATGATATTTATAATAATAGTTCAACAAACACATCTCTCAGAGAAATTCAAAGGCTACATTTTTATCACTAGTAGTTGAAAATGAAAAACTTTTAAAAAATGAAAGTTAAAATAAATTGCAAAATGTCATTTTTTTTTAGTTTTATAGTTTTATTATTATTATTATTATAAATTGTTATTTTTTTTTTATCTTCTTTGGAGGTGCTATTGTTTATTAGTATGATAATAAAAATATTGTTTTATCTGTAATACTAAGACAGTTATAAATTGCTTGAGTTAAAGGATAATTAATTAACATATAATATTTGTCTTAACACCCTAATAAATATAACACTTTACATGAAATAGACTTTGGTTGTAATTAATTAATAAAACTAGTGTGATTGATTTCCTAACCCTTTCTAATTAATAGTTTGGCCAACCTTTAATTGTTAATAGAAATCCCTTATTGCTTGCAGGGATGCCTTAGGTAGTATAGGGTTATATTGAATTGTGTGTCTGTAACAATATAATAGGTCACGCTATGTTGGATTGTGTGTCTGTAATAGTATAGCGAGGAATTACGATTTAAAACTTTCGGTTATTCCAAAGCAAATGTTTTGCAAAAAGTTTTACAAGTTAGGTCGTGTTTTTTCCTATTATACCTTTATCACACCCTCCAGTTATTAACTGAGTGATCTTATCGCACAAGGCAAGATGGCTTCTTGCCTGAAGTGGGAAATATGTTATGATGGCAGATCTTCAGGTTCCATTATAGAATGTGCTGATAAGCTTCATTGATATGTAAGCCAACCATACCCTGCAGTTGTTGATTTTATTGCGCAAGGCAAGATGATTTCTTGTCTGAAGTGGAAGGTGTGCTATGATGGTGGATATTATAGGTTTCATCATAGCATATGTGGCTTGACATTCTAATTGATAATATTTTTATTATTATTATGTTATTTACATATAATTGTAGTAAAGACCCCGCAAATTCAACATATCATTATTCAAAATTAGCAAAGATTGTTATTGAGGATCGAAAACAAAAATAATAAATCTGTTCACCAAATAAGATCTTGTAGTAAAGTAACTGGAGAATGAATTTCAGATGACATGGTTTGTGAAAGATGTGAAGAAAAGTATTGGGATGATGAATTGTC